CTCAAAAAAATACTTTTCTTACTGTAATTTATAAAGTTTTCTAATTAGAGTATAAAGTTTTAAAGAAAACTGGCTATTTTTCTGGATCAGGGAAGCCGAATAAGTTCAAATAAATTTTGTTTTCCCCTTAAAAACAAGTTTTTTCCAGATTAATCAATATTTATTCCACTTCTGCTCTTTAGTAACAGATATTTGAAGAACACTCTGTCATTCCACCGTTTGAGCTTATTTTGTTCACCAAAACATTTACTCAAATTTTTCATTGTCTAATTAAGCTCTGATACTGTGGGCAGAAGGAGACATTTATTCTTAGAATCTACATTTCAAAAATTGGCCAAGTGTGCCGCCCCAGACTGGAAGAACAACTTTTGCTGCTTTATTGTTGTTTCCAAACCTAGCCTTCAGGTCCTTTTGCACTCTGCGGAGGACAGGAACATCATTCGAACCAAACTTCCACTTGGCCTCTTGTATGGCTTTTGTGAAACTTTGTTCCTCCTCAGCCGTGCATTTGATTTGATGTGAACATGCTGAAGTGAAGAGTTTCGTGCGACGATGAATGCATTAGGCAACTGGAATCGCAGATGAAGACATACAACAACACTCACCGCTTCCTAAGCCAGCTCCAAAGATTTGCGCGCCAGAAGCTCTCTTTAGTGTTCCTTGTCTAACGCATGGTTCTGGTGCTGAAAATTAACCAAATTTTGTCACTTTATTTCTCACGAGCCTTTTTGAAAAAGAAAATTTGAAAGCCTTTGTTTCATTTTTTTCACCTGCTGGTATGCATTCTAACAGTTCTTCAACGCTTTTATTCCCCCATTGTTTGATCGGGAGATTTATCATTTTATTGTACTCATCTGGATCAGTGTTGGCACGAATGTTCTCAAAGCAGGTTTTGACAACACCATTTATGTCGGCTTCGGGAGGGGCGAATCCGTTTTGGAAACTAGTGCAGGCGGTTACCATATAGCGGAAGGGAGTATCTTTTACTTCAGCTGAAAACATATTTTTCTTCATAATCTGAAATGGTGAGTGACCTAGGCGAGCAAAGTTAGTGAAAGGCGCTCAGCACGTGTAATCATCCGTTACAACTGCAGAAAAGTAGGATAGAAATTCAGACATAATATCCACTCTAAACTGGGTGTCACAAGAAAATTAATTGCTTGTGCAGTGTCTTAGACGAGTTGCTACGTCATGTTGTAAAATAGGGACTATTAAATTAAACTTAATCAGTACGGTCGTAAATGTCTGTGAAGACTATCTTGTAATCCTGGCCATTTGGACCGCTTCCTGGACGCACATACGTCTTCAGAGCATTCTTATAGTTATCGCAGTCTACAAAAAGAGGAAGATTAGTTGGAGTACAATCTCGAAAAACTTACTGTTCCACTATTTCCTCCATAAAGTCATTCATAGTTTGAGAAATTTTTTGGACACTCATGCATCAGATAGATTAGTGCAGATCTGGCAAAGAATTCGTTTTAGATAATTCTAAATTAGCTTATATTTTGAAGTGGAAGGCAAAGCAAATTATACGGACCTTTCGCAAATGCAACGATGCTGGAAAGCCAAAAGAAGGCAAGAGCAGTCCTCATAATGGTTGTCTACGTGTGGAAAGGGCACAATTGTTGAAGTTATATAGTGCTCTCAAATCATTAGCGTTATACGGTTTTTACACTTTGTTATTATTCCAAATAATTATTCATACATTTTTGACCTTTGAGCTTGTTTAAATAAGCTACTGCATAGACTAAAGATCTGTGGTAGTTTATT